TGAATAACGAATATATGATCAAATGTCAGAATTCTTTTTTTCATTGTGTTCATTTCTTTGAGCTTTACTTTGACTCACATGGTCTTAAAATTCCAGGAAGAAGAAACTGATAATATAAAAATGGTAAGAGTATATAGCTGAGTATAGCTTTATTTATCTTCTTAATGTCTTCAAGGTACTGGCTCCTTTTGCCAGAAGCAATTTGTCTTTATTCTCCTTGGACTTATGTCTGTGTACTTACCTTCAAGGCTAAGTGAGGGGAAAGACTACTAAAACATACCTTGGAGTAATGTTCACTTTACCCATTTCTCTGTGGCACTTGGGGAGCCCGGCATTGAGATTCAAATAGATATCTTTTGGGAGTTTAGGGCACCCAGTGGGAAAGTGGGGGGAGAGGTCACCCAGGTATGCCCCATACTCCCCTCCTGCTGCACCTGGGGTACTCTTGTAACAGCGTTTACTGTCTTGTTTTGCTTTTCAGCTCTTACAAGCTTGGAAGCCAGGATACCTGTTCATGCATACCCTTGTGCAGCGGGATTCTCCTGGATCTTTGTCAACATGACGAGTTTTTTATTTTGGGAAAAGGCAAGGCAATGTGAACTTCAACATTATTTTCTGTTTTCGTAGTTTGACCTACTACCACCAAAGGTACTAATAATACCCTGCCTCTGGTGTTAATAATAACCCCCATGTTTGTGTGTATACACATGCCTATACTTTCATGTTCTATTTCCCTTTTGACCTTGTGAAACAAGCAGACTCTGAGATTGTGTGCGCACAAGTAGATTCGGAGGATTGTGTGCACTAACATGTGCACAAACAGGTTTAGAAATGGTCCCATTCACAAAGCTGGGTCGAGGCACATCTTGGGCTAGCATCTTCTCTGTTCACTATATGACAGTTCATTTATAACCAAATAGACTTATGTGGTAATTTCAGTGACAAAAAAGTCCTATCTAAAATTGAATGAAAGGACCAAAGATGTTAGTTCTGATGAATTAATTCATATGTTTACTGGTGAATTTCAAGTGTAAAAGTAAAGACAATGGAAAGTTTTTGAGAATGTGATCTAAAGTATTCTAAAATTATATTATGAAACAATAACAGTAATAAAATTTGAGTGGAAGAAAGGATAATGGGAGAGTACTTTCTTCTGCCTGACAGGAGAGAATAATTAGTTGCTAGCAATTATTAAAATAGCAGATTAGGTGGTCCAGAAATAGTTTGAGATATTATATATGTACGAGCATGCAATAATAATATCACACATTAATATTGGTTGTTATATATAAATTATATAAATATTATAAAAAAGAATAATGAATCAATGGAAGGGGAATATATCTAATACTTTTTACTGGATGGGAATTTAATAATATTTCCAGGGACAATTGGTTAGGTTTGATACATGAGGCGAATCTGGATTCTTTACATTGTATACAAAATAAATTCCCCCCGAAGGATGTCATGTATCAAAATTTTAAAACATATTGGTATGTCATAAGTATGAAATGTTATGTCCCATTTTCAGCCAGGTCAACATCTCAAGAGGTCCTGGTGAGTTCGAGCTCCGCTGTCAGGGTTTCCATTGATGGTCTATGAGCCGGAGCCTGTTTCTGATTCTGTGTCTCCCTCTGCCCTCCCCATTCATGCCTGCCCCGCCTGCTCCAAAACAACTGAAAAAAAAATTAAAAAAAATAAAACATAACAGGGTGAT